CATTCTGATCCACATAAAATAATAAAAATTTGTTATCATCAATTAAAATACGCTCTCCCAAAAATAATTGGTGACAATACAGCAACATAGCCTTTTGTTATTAGACATTTTATATAAATTTAAAATTTTAAAATTTAAATTGATTATTTATTTGTCACACAATTTTTAGTGTAAAAATGATATTGTATTTAGAAAAAGTGAAAATGAAGAATTTTACAAAAAAATAAAAAATAAAGAAAAAATATTGAATAAAAAAGAAAAGGGGTCAGCACCCATCCAATCCAAAATCACTAAGAAAAATATAAATATATTAATTATAATAAAAAAATGTTGAATCAAAAAAGACATTCACACCAAAAACAAATATATAAAAAGCCCAAACCCAAAATGACAAGAAAAATATATTAAATAATAATAAAAAATCCTGAATCAAAATCAAGTTGGCACCCAGCCAAACCCAAAATGACCAAGATGAATATATTAAATAATAATAATAAAATTCTTGAATCAAAAACAAGCTGGCACTCAGCCAAACCAAAAATAATTAATTATATAAAAAACCAAACCCAAAACAACCAAGAAGAATATATAAAAAAATCTTGAATCAAAAACAGGCTGGCACCCAGCCAAACCTGAAATCACCAAGAAAAATTGATTCACAATAAAAAAGCTAGCACCTAACAAAACCCAAATGACCAAAAAATATATTATTAATAATAATAAAAATAATGTTCAAATAAATTATGAAAAAATAAAATATTTTTTTCTTTTTCTTGAAGATAAAAAATTTTTAAAATATAATAAATATTATTATTTGATATGTTAAAAGTTTTATTATTGTTGTTGTTGCTTTAGAATATGTGGAGGGTTGAAATTATCTTTGAATGGTGGAGCTACTTTTTCATTTGAACAATTCTGACTGTAGTGTCCATCTTGATAGCATTTTAAACAAGCATTATGATATTCATCCTTAATATTGGGACAATTGAAGATATTGTGACCATAGTATCGACATCTATAACACAATGTTTCACATTGACTACTTTTCCATGGTGTGTTGGTTTGAGAAATTTTGACATTGTTTGCAGATTCTAAACCTGCTGCAATAGCAGCATTGGTATGATCATCAGTATTAGTAGGTGTAGATCTAGCATTAGTGTTAGTGATATTCAATAATATTGTTAGTGTATTTTCCTGCAAACTTAATAGTCTATTATTCATGTTGGATATGTCTCTAACTAATTCTCTATTTTGAGTTGTAGTATCCATTAACATGGTCATAAAATCATCCATTATTCTGTTAATGCTATTATTTTCATTACTATTATCTTCACCATTATTATTATTTAATTGCATTTTGTATATAATATGTGAGAGAGTTTGCTTGTTGATGATTGAATATTAAATGATCAATTACTATTATTATTATTAGTTATTATTTTTATTAGTTATTATTGTTGTTGTTATTGTTAATTATTATTAATTATTATTATTTACATTACCTTGTAACAATTTTAAATATTATGAATATATATCTTGCGTTGTTGTTTTTTAAAGTTTCTTTTTAAAAATAATGAATGATTTCTATGTTGATGGTTAATGATTTTAAATATTATGAATATATACCTTGCGTTGTTGTTTTTTAAATTTTCTTTTTAAAAATAATGAATGATTTCTATGTTGATAGTTGAATATTAAATGATCAATTACTATTATTATGATTAGTTATTATTTTTATTAGTTATTATTGTTGTTGTTATTGTTAATTATTATTAATTATTATTATCATTAATTATTATTATTTACATTACCTTGCAATGATTTTAAATATTACAAATATATACTTCATGTTGTTGTTTTTTAAAATTTCTTTTTAAAAATAATGAAAAAATAATATATATTGTATCATTACCTTTTTAATTATTTTTGAAATGAAAATATTATAATCTTGCTTTCCTACTATAGTGTTACTAATGTTGATTTATATTAAATGATTGATCAATTACTATTATTATTATCAGTTATTATTGTTATTAGTTGTTATTGTTAATTATTATTATCATTAACTATTATTATTTACATTACCTTGCAACGATTTAAATATTACAAATATATACTTCACATTGTTGTTTTTTAAAATTTATTTTTAAAAACAATGAATGATTTCTATGTTGATGGTTGAATGATTGATCAATTACTATTATTACTATTAGTTATTATTGTTATTAGTTGTTATTGTTAATTATTATTAATTATTATTATCATTAATTATTATTATTTACATTATCTTGTAACGATTTTAAATATTACTTCGCATTGTTGTTTTTTAAAATTTATTTTTAAAAACAATGAATGATTTCTAACTGGTTGATCATCTGTTGATTAAAATTCCCAAATTTCGTTGTCATAACAAAATTCATTTAATAAAATAAAATACAATGTCTACAGTAAAACTTAGTTCAATCAATCAACGCCTTACAAGGTTGTTAGAGGAACGCGAAAAAGAATTGTCAATAATTGTGAGTTTATACATTGATAACTTGTAAAGTTTTTTTTTGCTTTTTACTAATTTTTATCTTTACTTTATAT